TTTAATTAAAAAATAACGTTGATTTTTTATTAGCAATAAGTTTTACGTTATTGAAACTTGTACACCTTAGATGTTCTCAATTCATCAACGTTCTATTGTTATGGTACAAGTAGTAAAATTCGGGTTTGCTATTCACCATAATAGTTCCTCATAAGTTAATTTTTAATTTATACTATATTATAAATCATTTGACAAAAACTCTTAAAAAATATTTTTCTATGCATGAAATATTGTTCAACAATCTCATTATTGAATACTAAATTACTAAGAACTATTATCGACAAATAAAAAAAAACATGAATGTTTTGTAAACAATTACCAAACAATTATATTTCATTTTTTAAAATATCATAAGTACTTATTAATCATTTTAATCACTTAATTATTTTGCACCAAATCATTCAATAATTACCAAACAACCACAAAAACACATTCAATTCTTCTTCTAGATCTTATTGTTTAGAATGTTTTTACACACTTTTAATACAATTAAATGCAATTGATTTTCATAATCATGTAACAGATTTTGTTGGTTAGCATTAAATGCAAAATCTCGTCAACATAATTCCAATTCCGGTTCCATCCACCGAAACTATAAATACATCACCGGCTTCTTCTCCATCATCACCATCTCATTCCGATTTAAGGTTTCCGATATCATCTCTTTCCTAGTGTAATAGAAGCTCCAAGAAGATTCAAGAAATTTCCTATTCATATCATCTTTCATTAATCCGTGGTWACCGGTAAGTGTTGATGTTCTTCGACTTCATGAATTTATTAGAATCGAAACATTACTGACGTGATCAAAATTACCTGAATCAACAAAAGGAATCCGCCATGAATCTCATCCTGAGAGAAGTCAGCCAACCCGTTGGCTTGAAGAATAGAGTGATCATGACAGGAAATTCACAAAACATTTAACATTGAAGTCATATCCAGGTGTGATTTTGTTTTTCTATTTCTTGCTACCCTACTTTTGTACATAAACAAGTTGATGCACAAAAGGCACCACAAACATGAACCTTGTGAAATCTTTATTTACTTGATTTTCATATTTGACCTTCTTATACGCTTTGATCATTTTCAATTCGATTCTAGGTCCCATTGGTGCTGCTGTTTACTTGTTGCTCATGAATCCACATAACTTTAGGTCAAGGATTAAGAATCGGAATCATACATGTGTTCAAGAATTGCGGAAAATTTTGCTAGCTACCGAATTGCCACCTGCAAGATAATCAATTGTTATTTGTTTGTTGATGAGTTTTTTATTTCTTCCTTTCCTAAGGCACGGTTTGTATTTATCGTTCATCCTTGTATTCAAATTCATTTTTCATATACCTTCATCTCTTAACCACTTCAAGCATTGCAAACACAAACAGAGGTAATTTATCGTTGTTTCCATATGACGGACCTAGTTTTGCTTAAAAGTTGGCTGATAACAAGCAAAGTTTGCTCGATTGGTCGTTGGAGTATCATCTTAAGAGGAAAACATCAAGGAATGTAATTAAACCACCTATTTCTGTGTATATTTGTTACTTCTGGCACTGAATGGTAGTTCTGCTATCAAATTGTTGTTTCTAAGATTACCATCTGATTTCTCTTTTAAGCTTGTTGTGCTGTCTTTCATCTTATGTATTTGTTGCTCATCATCAAAGAATATATGTCAAAGTGGAGCTTCCGAGAACACCTTTCTCCCTGCTTCTGATGGATATACAAGTTGCTAGTTATCGATTATTAGTGTTAGTGATGCTATTAGTTATTGTCTAATCTAAAACTACTTTCGATTACAAATGGCTAATATTCTTTTGTAAACTTACAGGTATGTGCATGATTCTTAAGTTTGGAATTCAAGAAATGAAGCTCAGAAAAATTGGGTGACCTAGCTAAGGCAGGGGTCTCAGACTTCTTTTGTTAAGAGTTTGTTTTTTTATCATAATTTATCTGAAATGATTTTCCATCATCATCACCAGTCTTCAGAAAATACAACGTAAGAATGTAATCTGGGTAGACATCTGCAAGAAACAAGTAAATTGCTTAGTGGAATCACCCTAAATTCTAAAAGACCTTCTATTTGAGTTCTGCTTCCATCCGTTTCAGTGTCTTCAACGGGCTCTTCTGCTCTTAATTTGTGGATCTAGTGTCGGTGGGATTGRTGGTCAGAATTTGTGCCTTTTGGTCTGCACCATCTTCATCTGTTCCAGTAAGCAAGATATTTTCGGTTGTATATATGAAGTTGGCTATCTCAGCAGATGAATATTGGGATAGCAATAAGTGATTCATTATTTCAGTTTGATTAGGTCTTCAATGTTGCTCCTGAGATGGTATCTTGCATCCCTATTTCTGTAGTCTTGATTGSATCTTTGTGAACCATTATCAATACAAAATGACCAGCAAACCACGAAACTACAAACAGTCATAAGAACTATAAGCAACTTCAGAAGTGCAGAAAGTCTTGGCAAGAACCAAATTGAATACCAGGTAACAAGTTGTTATTAAGTTGTTTATGCCTTTCTTCCCCTAGGCACGGTTTATGCTCACTCATCTACCTTTCATTTCCAATATAGCCTTCATCATACAGGTGGCTGCCGCTTTGACAATTATCATTGTCAGATGATTTGCATAATCTGTCATTTCTTATATTTTCTGTTATTTAAACTTTTGAACTGAACCATCCACGTGATTGATTTGTGATATCGCTYAKTCCAAATTGCAAAGAAGAATCTTGAGTTAACTGGAAACCACKCTGAAGTGAGCCAACGGACATGGTGTTCAAGMTMTTGCAGTCAAGGKTGACAAGGTGATCAATGTACCCAGAAAGTAAGTTCACACAGGTGATATGCCACACTGCTTCACATTTTCTTCAGGATGATGGTGTTCTCTGGTGCATTGGCTTTCATGAAGTTCAAAATAACAGCGTAACACTACTCAAATGTTACTTAAAATATGAATTGAGTTCACATTTCTCACCCTAGTAGCTGTACCCTTCGGCACACACACATAGAGAGAATCTTTGTAAAGCCCTCAATATAGCAGATTTCTGGTGGGGGGTGTTTTAGGTGAATTATATTGTGGGTTTGTTTGATGCTGTTTTTGCTTTTGCAGGAGACTCGTTTGTGTACTATGCTCGGATTATCTCCTACATCCCCACATATCCACTTGGTGCTGAACAAGAGGTTTTTATTTTCATTTGCTAGTTTTAGAGTCTTAAAACTTTTGTCTTTTTTGCTCAGGTGCATACTTGAAAGTCAATGAATTGATGTGTTTTACTTGATTATCTGAAGTGATGGTGTTAAGTTGATTTTTGAAGTTTATGGAAGGACCATGCCATGTAAGTTAATGATCTGAGGTCTGATTAATATGATTTTTTTATTATCTAAAACAGAGGTTTCGACTGTAAATCATGAAAGTGATGTTTGTTAATTTTGGAAGTTCATTATTAGTGATTTGGGACCTAAAAGTTTCTTTAGCTGTCAAAGTGGCTTGGGAGGGAAAAATAGGTGTATGATGTCTTTATTTGAAGGGTATTCATTTCGGTGGTATGTTAATGCCATCCCTTATTATTGATCCAAATGAAATTAGAGCCCAAGCCAAACAAGTTAATGCAAGATCAGTATAGGTAGTGGCTTGTGCTTGCTCAAACTTATTCATTACTGTAATTACGTGCAGTGTTTGTCCAGGCAGGCCAGCATCCACTAGTTAGCCAGTGAAGAACAACACCACTGCTATTTTTCCCATATTGATCCCTTACGGCCCTACCCTGTGGTCATGCTAAAAAAGGTAAGTAGTTAATGCATTTGATTTGTCTTCCTTGTATATTGGAGGTCTTACATGTCATCTATTTGAAACTTCTTCTCACAAATTTTGAATGGTCAATAACTCCTTTCAGTTGTTAATTGTCGTAATAATTCCCTTTTTGGAGTCAACACGGCTTGGCTGATGCTGACCAATGTGTATGTTCGTGCTCATGACTCTTGTACCACAGGGTTGTAGTCACATGTAAGCATCCAACCTATCATAAAATTGAGTTGGATGTAGAAGATTAGTTAGAGTTTTAGACCAACATATGGATGTATCATGAAACTTTTTGTACTTCTATTCGTGCTTGATCAAGAAACCACAAATTTTTTAGATGAGCATGTTGCTATATCTAGAAAACCAGTTGTTCACGATTAAGATAAGGTTTCATGAGGCATGGTTGAGATAATGTGTGCAAGGCTGTTGGACATTATTGGATGTTCCAGGACAATGTTGAATACTTGAGCCAAATAGCTGTATCTAAGTGTGAGTTATGGCTTGAGCAATGAAATGCACCTGTGGGTTAGTTCATGTGGCAATAAGATTTGGGCCTTTGGGGCTGCTCCTCATAGGTCACCCGTTTGAGTCCTGTAAAGCCATCGAGTATTTTCATGGCTGTTATCCGACCCCTAGAATTAGTCAAGGTGCGCACAAGCTGGCCCGGACACCCACAGATAATAAAAAATACCTCAAGTTTTGGCACACTTAATTTGGGATGAATCAAGTGTTTGTAGAGGCTATGCTAGTGTGCACATGTGGAGCTAGCTGCATAGGCTATGATGAAGAAAGATCAAGATAGAAAGCTCACTCAATTTCTAGTGAACCCATTGCCAGCAGTGGCTAGTACTGCTTATTCCATGAAGACCTGTTCGTGACATTTTATGGGCCTTGGGCGAACGTAAAATCAAGGCCCACTGTAAGAAACAAGACTTGTAGCAACGAATTTTGTCGTCGCTAAAAGTCCATTTATCATCAGAAATAGTATATACCAACATGTCATCGTTATAACGTATGGTGGAAACATGTCATCGCTAAAAGGCGCATCGTCAAAGCTCACTTTTCTTGTAGCGACTCTCGGTAAGTATGAAAAAAATTCATTAAATGTCTTTTATTAGTATAAAATTGAGTACAAGAAATGCTAATAATTTACTTAGAAAAGAAATCTTATTTATCTTACTATAGATATATAAGAGAGTACTTAATTATTATTTTTTTGATTAACCTGAATATCCAACCCGCCATGCGAGCCGACTAATCCGAGGGCAACCACCTGCTTTGCTTTGCAGGTAGCCTAGAGTCACCGCATTTGAACCTCCGTGGCCATAAAGGGATTTATGTTCCTTCTTTGGATTTGAACCTAGGACCTCCAGACACTTTTGACCTTTGGAGTCAAGCTCAAACCAATCAGGCACCACCCTTGTGGTTATTTAAATTTACGTACTTTTTATTAGGTAATTTGAAACCAAGAATATAAAAACTATGGTTGATAATTTTTTTATAAATAGTAAGAACTTTTTTTAGTTCATATCAAGAAATATGTGTTATTTTGATACAAAAAGAGAATTCGTGTGAATGAAGTAATCGTAAGGGTCGATGAGAGATCAACAATGAAGAAGATTATCAAGATTTTCTAAACAAATAGATAAATGAGGATCAATAAGAATATAAAAGAAAAGATTCATTGAAATCTAATAAGAATAAATTATGAATTTAATATATAATATGCAAGTTCAACAAATGATTGTTTGAGTACTTAAATAGAATCTTGTAGTGCGGTCGAATTCCAATTAAAGATATACAAGTCAAACAATTGATGAAAATATTTAAAATTTATTTTCCTTCATTTTTATGTTCAACTAAAATAAATTTTAAGATTAAAAGTTTATGGAACATGACATATATAATAGACATTACTAAATCCATTCAGTAGAAAAAAAATTATTGATTAATTACAAAATTATGAAACACGTCATAAATTATAAGAACAATAGATTGATTGTCAAAAAATAGTAAAATATTTTATGTAGAAGCAAAAATAGATAACAATAGTCAACAAAAACAATTAGAACAACATAACCAAACAACAATAGTCAATAGAAGCAGAAATTGATAAAAATATTCAACGAAAGTATATAACAATAATAAGCACATGATCTTAACATTGAATTGTTAAAGCATGAAAACAATCAAGCATATAGAGATAACAACAACCAATATCATTGGACCTTGTTGAAGATAAAAAAAAATTAGAGAGACAATAAACAATAACATATAATAAATGACCAATTAATTTTTTTTATTTTCTTCTCCAATATAATTAGTTGATATATTTTTGGGCCCTTATTATGTACTAATTTTTTTGCTTCTTATTATATGTTACAACTTTTTGGGTTTCTTTATTTTATTAAATTCTTTTAGACTACTAATGTAATTTTTAAGGAAAAAATTTGGGTCCCTGATATTTTTGGGTCTTGGGCGTGCGCCCATGCCGCCCTCCCCCAGAGACGGCCCTGATTTCATGGCTACTTGAGATGGGAATAAAGGGACATATAATCTTATATTTGCACTTTCTGATTATGTCAACTGAAACCGTATTTGATGTTACATGAAGTGCTCTAAAATATATCTTTCCTAGTGTTTTACTGTAAAAATATTGTTATATTCTTGTATTAGTTGTTATATATCTGAATGGAAAATCTTGGACATGTATTGTTGTTATATATCATTTGATAACCAAGTTGACATGTAGGGACGAATACAGTATGGCGTGGTTCAGAGGGCAAAACGACGACGACTTCGGTGGACGCGGTATAGTAACCTAAAAGGCATGGTAACTGTGATGTACACCTTTTCATGTTAACATAGATGTGACACAAAAAAGCTTTTTTCAATATGAATGCTCTTAACGTGTTACTTTCTTTTAATGAAACAAAACTCACGCCGTACCAATCCTGGCATCTCGCTATGCCAATAAACAAGCTTGGCGAAAATCGTTGCTTTACATGTGGAGCCAGATTGAGTTTCAAGCGTCATTTGTCCGTATGAAGAAACGGGAAGTGCAAGTTGGTGCTCGTGAAATGGCTAAGGAATAGGCGCCAAATGGTTTACAAACAAATGATTAATCGCCCCAAAACAATTGCTATCTGTAATCGATATTAGTAGAAAGTTTTAAACTATTGTAGTGGATTGCTTATTAAAAATAAGCTCTTATTTTTGTAAATTTTTACAAAATCGACTATTTTACGAAAAACCATTAAACTCTATTTTTGATTGAAAAAACCATTAAGCTTTATCAGATTAATTCTCAGAACATATCTACACTATATTATAAAGCAGTTGATAAAAACTCTTAAAAACCATTTTTTATGCATGAAGTATTGTATATTGATGCATATTACTTAAAATTCAAGATTACAAGTAAGTTATGCATAAGTACAACTTATTAGAGTTCCATGTTTGAATTCGTGTAATTAACTTTGGATAAACATAATCAAATAGAGGATAAACATCTCATTTTAAAATATAAAACATCTCATTTTAAAATATAAAACATCTAAAATACAATTAGGATAATTATTGAGTTCTAACAAAATAATTAATTATTATCTTTATTAGAAAATTATATTATTACACCAAATATAAATTACTTCGTTATTAAACCTAAATTTAATTATAATTAAAAAATTACACAAAAAATACCAAAATAGAAATTTTAATAGTTAATTTGATACTAATATCGATATTTTTTTTGTCAAAATTTTATGATATCTTCAAATTATATTTTATTAAAAGTAAAAACTGCATCGCTTTTTCAAAACCACATAAGATCATAATATAACATCGGCTGAGATAAATAATAAAATGAAATATTAAAATCAAGATGTATCTCGCTGTATTGCGCAAGTACTCTTCTAATTTTTTAATAAATAAACTATTACACTTTTAAAAATTGGTTATTACATTTTTTTAACCAAAAAAAGTTACAATAACCAACTAGTAAAAGTTTGATGGTTTATTTAAAAAAAAAAATCAAGGTTTTAATCATTCAAAATGTAAAAATTTATGATTTTTTTATTCAAAATAATAGTTTAAGGACTTAACCATTCAAATTATAAAATTTAATGATTTTTTATCTAAAAAAATAGTTTATGGATAAAACCATTCAAATGAGAAAGTTTGTTGGGTTTTTTTTGGACTTTTTTCTAAAATTCAAATATTACTAATATCATTATTAATAAATATCAATTAATATAAATTAATTATTAACTAATTTTAATTATACATTAATATTTTTTATTAATTTATTTATGATAATTATTAGTCATATATACTATTTTCATATCAATTATT